CGGAAACCCAGCTATCCCTTAGACTCCACCCTCTGGGAAAGCGGATGCATCAAGAGAAGGGTCATCACCACCCAGGATTCATGACAATGGGACAGGGTGACAACACGGGAGAGCATTGGCAGAGAGCACTCGGCGATGCTTGGACGCATTTCAAGGCTTAGTGTTCAATGTTTGACCCGAGTGTACTTTAATCATCCTCCTAATGGCCCCGAGAGAAGAAAGAAAATCAAACTCACTTAGTGAAATGGGCAGAAGACGAGAAGTTTCTCTTCCACGCGGATGGATTTTTTGAGGTCAAACAATTAGGCCCGCGGTTTAATAGAACCATTAAAAATCAGACGCGAGCCCACGGGAATAAAACAAATCAGTGTGTTCTCCTTACAAATAAAGAACTGCAGATTTCCCTTCACCGTGATAAAATGGTAACAAAAGGGGGACTGACCAATCCACACAGAGTTCAGGAGCAAGTCTAAGGGCTCATTCACACGGGTGTGCACATCCATAAGGCATGCATGCCCATGCAGAGACATGCTCCTGGGAGGGATAGGTGCTGCGTTAATTGTGTGCAGCTGCCTTTACCTGCGGGAGGATGCACCTGCATGCAGTTATATGCCAACTCGCACCTGCACATCCCTTGTGGCATGTGCTGGCACTCGGACCTCCATGGATGCGCAGGCTCGGGTCGGCGTATAACCGCATGCAGCTGCGTCCTCCCATAAAGGAGGTACAAGCGGCTACATGCAATTCCATGCAGCACCTGTCGCATGTCGGGAGCAGGTCTCCTTTCTCCATCCGCCACCCCCACATCTACAATACACCAAATAACCAGAAATCTGACCTGAATCAAACGATCAGCTTGCCGAGTGACAGGTTCACTTTAAAGATTCCCACATTTAAGCCAACCCTGGCACAGCGTAAACAAAAAGTAAATTATTAAAGACGCTTCAAACGCCCAGCAGCTCCAGCAAGTCAGCAGCAAGAGAGCGGAGCTGACCCACTTGTTAATGATAAAAATTACTTGCCTTTTTTTTTTTTGGGAGGGGTTTAAATATTTTAGAACTTCTGCTCTGGGGAAAAAAAAAAAAAAAAAGGAAGGAAATTTGCTGGAGTTAAAGGGGCACTCCGCTCCAAACTGATCCTATGTGCTCAGTACTCTCATTCTGAATGCAGCAATTTCTGTAGGAGGGCATGCAAACTCCCCAGCGCCGCAAGAAGGCAGGACTGCTAACCACTAGGCCGCATGGACACATGCCTGCCCGTGCACGCTCTGCACCAATGTCAGGACTGGTGTATACACACACGTTATAGTGGAATATCATCAAAGCACAAGATGATCTCACACTGACCTCTGCTGATCTCAAATGTCCATCCGCATCAGTCCAAAGCGAACTGCCAAGAGTCCCGCAGCGGCCAATGGTCGGTCTCTTGTAGAATGCAGCAGACTCAATGGCACTTTCCCTATTTAATACCATGGCAGTGGTAAAGGTGGGTTTCAGGTAGGGATGAGAGTACAAACACCCATGTAGGGTTGTGAGCAGCTGTAAACCCCGTCACTAAAAATGTCAAACAAGCTTCAGCGTGTTAAAGAAGAACTCCGGGTATTTAAAAAAATTAACCCTTGCAGTGTGGCTACCCCTGTAATGCAAGGGGCTCATTTTCGTCTAGGGGTTGCCAACAAAGAAGATATTCTCACCTGATCCTCAGTCCTGCCTGGCTACTAAACCGGTAACGGCAGTCTCTTTTTTCCCTAGGCTCAAGTGGTCTAAGTACCATTGACACCATCCTGTCCATTGACTTGCATTGGATGTGAGGAAGCTGAGGGACATTCCATAGCCGGAGTGGAAGGTTTATTTGACTCTCCTAGATGAAATGAGCACTTAACCCTTACAGTTCCGGGTGTAGCCCAACTGCAAGGGTTCATTTTTAAAATGCCCTTTTAAAATGGTATTCCAAAAGCTTTCAGTCTTTTTAAATCTGCAGCTTATACGTAGAATGGAGGGCTGATACCTGATCCTGTCATGGAAGTCTTAGTACAGGCACTTCCTGTTATGGGGTGACAACCGTCTCCCGCGATGTCACACACACACCCCTAGTTGGGACTATGAGCCGCCCTGCCAACATACATACACAGGTGTGGTCCACCGTTTTCACCCTCCGGAAGCCAGTCCAGAACCATGATGGCAACAATGGAGCGTGTGCATGTAGACAGGAAGTGACTGAAGATCAGCAAGAGGAAAAAAACAAAAAACAAAAACAAAACAAAAAAAGGTGAAAACAAGTGTATTATGGGAAAAATATAACAATGGATACACATGGATAGTCAGGAAGATACCAGATTCATCTTGAGAAAACATGCCAATATTTACTACTTACCGAGCCGACGGTGCCAAGAGAGCAGGAACATAGAGAAAACCCTCCTGTAGTTGCCCCGGCCTAGAATAAATGTGAATGATGGAATCCGGCGTGTCAGCTATTATACAGAGTCACCGA